TCTAAGGAGTCAGATGAACAAGCTCATTCCTCCAGGAAATCCCTAGATACCATTTCTGAGTCTGAGTCATCAGATAAGGATATCACTTCTGGGCCCATGTAATCATGAGCAAGTCGAGTTAGGTGAGAATCATGAGATACCCTTATTCCAACAACAAATGAAGTGTCGCTCTCATAACCACTCACCAAATTAATGGTATTATCACTCATCCTAACTAGAAAGCATTGAATGTTGAAGAAAAAGCTTGATAGACATAAGTCGTGTTGCATAGGTATAAGTCTTTTCTTAGAATCATATACAATAAAGTGTCTCGACACTTTTTCTATGTATGTAATCCGACCTAGGCCAAAAAAATTTTGTGATCTCATTCTATAAGTCCTGATTCCTAATATATAAGATCCTTCATCCAAGTCATTCCTAAAAAATCATTTTCCTAACCAAATTTTCACTTGTTGCAAGGTAGAGACATCGTTCCTAATGAGTAATAGGTCATCTACATATAATATCACAAATACAATCATGCTCTCACTAACCTTCTTGTAGATACAAGGATCATATTCATTCTTAATGAATCAATAGTATTTTACAGTTTCATCTAAATGAAGATTCTAGCTTTAAAGTCCCATATGGCCTCTCAGACTTCTGGTTGGAGGTCTTCAATTATAGGAGAACATATAAACACATGAAAGAAGTTAATATAAATAGAAACGAGAGGCAATGTGTTTCTCGTGAACAATCTCTAGCCTCTTATTAAAGGTTACTTGCAGCATTTGCTATAATAATCCTAGACTTAGTATTTTGAGTGTTTTGAGTTGAAACTGGCTGATATAGGATTCGTAGGTATAAAAAGGCAAAAGTAAAGGACAATTGCAAAGTAAAGAAAATAAATGAAAAGACTTGTAATTTAAAGTGAAAATTAGAAATTTCTTTTAATTTAAATGTGGAAGCATTCATACATTGTTAAGTCTGAACTCGTTTCTCTCTTAGATGCAGATAGTTTAAGTGTAATGCTCTAAATGTGAAGAAATGCGACCTCTAACAAAAATACAGACATTTGCTTAAATATAAATTCTAAAAGTGTAACCTTCGACGATTACTAGTCCCATGTTGGGTTTCATGGAGAACTACCATAAACTGCTTCAAAACATCTCCACGTTCTTCATGGCTTGTCAGTTGATAATTGCTCTTTCCGCCACTTATCATTCCCTGTCGACATTTATATTTGTCGAGCTTGCCTCTGAAATTGGTGTCTTCATCGACCAGCCTTCCCGGTTTAAATACTTCTTTGACTTGGTCGATGCATCCCATTGTTCTTTATGGAAACACGCCTTTCTAACCAAAGATACAATAGAGCTTGAGGGCTTACTTCCCTATTCAAAAATTTCTTTTCAAAAAATTACCCCTAAAATGCCATGTTTGGTGGACCCTCTGTTGATGGGAGAACTTTGGTGTTTGCTCTTTCAAGTTTTCAACTGCATGTCTCCTCAGAATGATGTCATGCGTAATCATGACTACTTTCTGCACAACAGTTTTCCATATCAATCAATCACTTTTCATGATTACTCCTAGGTTTTAGGGCGTGGGTTTTCAAACAAACCCCACTAACTTTTCCACTCCTTTGGTTTGTCATCGTTGGATCAACGCCACCTGTTTGTGATCAACGGGTCTAATTCCCTTTAAATAGATTCTTTAGACCAAAATTACTTCTTTTCTTCTTCCAATTTCACCTTTGCTTCTTGCTCGCAGACCCTTTGTTTCCTGCAACTTTTCTAACACTAAAAACCCAGTCGTACTACTAGGCATTTTCTTACCCCTTTGATTACAATGGAAACTTCTGGTTCTGCTCGTGTTGCTATCGGTAAAAATCCCATGGCCTTCTCCCTCACCAAAGATGCCAATCTTCCAATCATCCAGCACCCAACATCTATTGATGCAAGCACCATTGGACTTGGCATAATCAAATGCTTATTCCATTTGTTGTCTCTGGGGAACTCTATGCCTTTCATGGGCCGTATCTAACCCGGAAAAGCAATCGTAAGAAAAATCAGGAATTCTTTCTTTTTTATACTCCTGTAAAACCCCTTGCGTTTAACCAAGATTTTATGCTCGACATGAAGTTCGTAGACCCTGCCACCAGGGAATTTCGTGCTATGCCTACTCTTCGAAAACTGACCTATTTGGCCTGTCTCGACAGGGTCCAAGGTAAGAAAAGGTCCTTCTGGGAAGCATATGGAATCTTCGATGCGATTCAACTGTCAAGAAATGCTCATAAGACTAACACGTGCATGATCAAAGCGTCAATCTTCTTCTGGGAAGGTTCGACCAACACCTTTCATATCCCTTGTGGAATGTTAACACCCACCCTCTTCGACATAGCAGCCCTTAACAACTTGTCTCTCATGGGCGAAATTTTCGATCCCATTTTGTCAAAGAAGCTCAAATTTCACTTCGACAAACCCAACCTCACACACTATTTTGAAGACCACCATGATACTGAAAGCGCAATTGTTGTTGATGAAGAACACATTGCTTTCCTCACTCTTTGGCTTTCTTATTACTTATTATGCCCTGGGTCTTTGCAGGTAGCCAGATGTATTATCCTTTTGGCCATTCAACTCCATGAGGGTTGACAGATTTCTTTGGGAAACTCCTGGTGGCATACCTTTATCACACCCTAGGTGAAGCCTCCTCCAGGCTAAAAATATTTCTGAAAATCCCAAAGGACCAACACTCTCATGACCATTTTGGCTCTTGCAACACTGGTTGAATGCTACCTTTGAGCATCGATTGGCTTCTCCTTTGATTCCATTAAGAATGAGTTTTGAACCTGAAAAGCTTTCTATCATTTGAGTAGCAGGAAGCTATAAAATTTTCTCTTGTTGGATCTCTCTACATAGTTAAGTGTTTAATTCTTGAATCAATAACAAATTCGGTATTTGATACCAATTGAAGGTAGAGAAAACACAAGAAAATGGGGGTTTTAATTGGGTTTATAAAAAACATTCCCCTTTAGAAATTCCAAGCACTCAAATGATAATAGCGATAAAGACAATTAAGAATAAAGGACACATGGATTTATCCAGGTTCATCTTAAACAAGGTTAATCCTGTCCACCCCCTCAAGGTTGATTTTGCCTTCAACAAGGACTTAATCCATTATAACCAAACTGATTACAAATGCACAGGCAATAACCAATGACTAACACACAATGACACATTTAAGGATCCAACTGGACATAATGTTCATTGACCCGATAGAATTAGATCCCTCAAGATCATCTACAAGGATTTCACAATGACCAGCAGCCACAATCATCTTGAGATCAAACCTTCACTCAGTCTCTCAAGGAATCAATCAACAATAGTTGATAAGGTTCTTGTGTTTACATGATTGCTTCTTCTAAGCAGATTACACAAGTGTTTTAAGCACATATTCTTTAACACATTTTCGAGCAACAACTCTAGTGTTAAAACAATTTACATGAAGAGATTCGACTTGAAACACAATAAGAGCAATAACTCTTGTGTTCATTACAATGTTTTATCAATATGTATATGATCAGAAGTTGAGTAGCATCTTGTATTGTTCTTCTTTTTCATCTTCTTGTTGAGTAAGTGTCGTAACCGGCAAAAAATATTGTGAGTCGCCACTATTAGTTTTTATCCTAAGGGAAGGGATTCTAATAGGAAACCCTAATTTATCAGAGGTTTTATGTTCATGGGTCTATTAGTCGAAGGGAAGGTGTTAGGAACCCTTCATCTACCTTTTTCTCAAGGTGCTCCATTATTAGGTCAGGGGTAGATAGGTAATTTCATAGCTAGGGTTTCCATAATTTGAGAAAAAGATTTAATTTTTAAAAGTCGGGCACGCCTTGATTTTTAAGCCGCGTGCCTACGTATCTCCTTATGAATAATCAGAGTCCAATTTTGTAGTTCGAAATGTTCGGTTAGTTTTTTTTATGGATTCTGGAAATATTTTGAATTCTCCTTGAACCTTGTCTGGTTTGAAAATAGCGGAATCGTAGATGCAGTTCGCCGTTAATATAAAAGATCTTCAAAGTCCTTTTTGAAAATAATATTGTAATTTGAATTATGTTAGCAAAAAATGTTAGTAATTGATTGGTTAGCTGTCTTAGATGTATGTGAAAAAAAAGTTCGAATGATAAAAGTTTGATAAAATAGAAAAAATGGTAAGTACTTTAGAAAAGAATTAATAATTAGATATTTTATTATTCTTAAAAATATATTAAATATTTTTAATATTAATAAAATATTCTTTATTAAAAAATTTAAATCCAAAAATATTTTTAATGCAAAAAGTTAATGATTATAAATAAATAAGTTAAATAAATCACTTAAATTAATTATATTTATAGAAAATTAATTAAATAATAAAAAATGAAGGGGGTGTATACTAGTCAAGTTTAGTAATTTTGGGTGGTGTAGATAAGAAGGGTTTTGGCCCATAATTGGTTTTGAGAGGCCCAAAACGGGGAGGGTCTAAATTATAGTTTAAGAAAGTAAATAAAAAGACTGGGGTGTGTATAGCGATGGGCCTTGTCCCAAAAAAAATCACTATGATCCATTCGGATCCAGTGTATGGGTCGTAGGGGGCTTACGGTGGGCTAACATCATATGAAATGCATGATTCGAATCGAATGGCTCTCAGAAGAAATTTTTTTAGCGTCGATCAAGATAGGGAGATTGGAGGGTTGAGATGGACGGTTGAACGAGGGCACGCAGTAGGGGAGTGTGTACAGAATTATTGTGCAGTAATTCCATCACATGGCCATATGATGGCCACGTGTCGCCACAAAACAAACAGACGAAGGGAGTTATATTTTCTTTTTCTTCAGTTTTCTTTCATTTTCATCTTTCCTCTCTCTCTCTCTCCTTTATTCATTTTCTCCCTCATTCTTTCCTCTTCTTCTCAACTCACAACAATAAAAACAAACCTAAAAATCCAGAAGCAGTGACGCTAACCATAATCGGAGGCTCTCAATGGTGGCCACCTTATTCCAACCCAGATCAACCCAAAATCAAAACAACAACAACAACAAAAATAAGCTAAGTTCTTGGGTGTTACCTCTCTTTGCTATGAACTTTGAGTCTTTGTTCTGGTTTCCTCGTTTATCTCTTTCTGGGCTCATTTTCCTTTCTGATTCGCAGGTACAGTGGCTTGGTGGCGCAAGAGTCAACATATCTAGGGTTTTAGAATTGAAACCCATATCTCAAGTAGAAGAGGCGTTGATTTGGAAGTTCAAGCCACAAATTTTATAGATGTGACTTTTCTTCTTCTTCTCCTTCCAAAAAAATTTCGTCCTTATTCAATAGTTTTTAGGGCTTTTTATATGCTATAGGTTAGGATGAATTAGAAAAAATTTATATTGACTTTCGTCAAAATTTTAAGATTTAGATTTGATTTAGATTAGAAATTGATTCAAATTAGGTTTGATTTTTAGATTTGATAGAGATTTGTTGTAAATTTAGAACTAGGGATTTCATTAGATTTGGAATTGATTGAGATTGTAAATCTCAGATTTAATCAATGTGTAATTGGACGATTTTGCTATAATATTCAATCAATGTAATTTTAATTTTGATTAGTTCTGAGATTTGATTCAATTTCGTTTTTCCAGGCTTTTCTTCTTATTTGCCTTAACGAAGAATATGATTGAGGCCACCGCAGCTGAGTAACTTAAGGTTTCTAACCCTAATTTTGACTTTGGTCGAACTTCTCAAAATAATAATAACAACATATTATAAATTGAAATAATAATTGAATACTTATAATAATAATAATTAATAACAATAATAATATAGCATAACCTATAGCAATAATAATAATAATAATAATAATAATAATAATAATAATAATATGAATATGAATAATGATAATGAAGCAACAATAGTAAAAATTATAACAATATGTATATATTTTAACAATAATAAAAACACAACAACAATTTACAAGAAGGCTTTAACGTTGACTTCAGTCAACTTTTTCTGAATAATAAAAATAAATAAATAATAAAAGTATTTGAATAAAAATGATAATTAAAAAAATAATAATAACAATGTTAATAATTAATAATAATAAAATAAATGGTTTGATACTAAAAAAATAACTATAAAAATGATTTATAATAATAATAATAATAATAATGACAAGTTGACTCAGTCACCCCTCTAATTAAATTAATTTGACCATAAAAATGGAAAATGGCTAGTTTTGGGCCTCCAAGCAACTTATTGGGCCAAACAATTTTAGTTTAGAAAAATAAGCCTCATTTGACAAAAAGATAAACACACACCCCTAATTTCTAATTTTACCCCTTTGTTTTTAAATAATATAAGACAGTAAAAAAATATAATAGTACCAAAATCAATAACCAAAATAAAAACTTGATTGGTAGTTTCAGTGGAGAAATTTTGAGATATGATAGTTGCCCCTATTTAATTGTTTTTCGATTGAAGGTGTGAGAATATGAAGGTCTCGCACATTCGAATCAAAGGGTTATTAAATAATAGAAGACCCTAAAATTTGACCAAAAAGGATTATAAGGTAAGGATATAATGTAAAGCATACCCAAAATTAAAAATAACAGGCAATGATGACACAATCAACCCACCAAAGTTTGAAAAATAAGTAAAATAGAACTAGATATGACGATGCAGATAACTCGTCAACATCTAAAAATAGTAATCATAGATTTTGCGCAATTACCGCAACCTAGGAGATAATCGATACAAGCTTGAAGATTAATAACTTATTGTCGCATTGAGACTGATGCAATAAGCTATATCGCAGTTATATAATATATACCGTGATTTGGAGGGTAAATAACACCATTTTGAAATTTGACCTACTAACGCTTAGAGACTGTCACCGTAAGCTAACCATGCAGATCATGTTTACTCATCACAGCTTAGGGGATGAATAAAGCAAAGCTGAAAATCCATTGTCGCTTTGAGACTAACACAATGAACTATATTGCAGAAAGACAGATAACTTATTGTTGCTTGGTGAATAACGCGACGAGTTACATCACATATTTCGTATATCTACTAAAACCTATGGAGTAAATGATATAGGTTTTAAAATATCTTACTAACGCTTAAAGACTAACATAGCAAGGTATATCGCAGATTTGTGCACTTTTCACGACCTAGAGGACAAATAACATAGACTTGATAATTCCTTGTCACTTAGAGACTAACACAATAAACCATATCGCAAATCTTCGTTTACCCACCATAACCTAGGGGGTAGATAACACGAGTTTTGAATAAATAACCTATTGTTGCTAGGAGGCTAACGCACTAAGTCATATCGTAGATGTTCGTATACCTATCATAACCAAGGGGATAGATAGTACAGACTTTAGATAGTCTATTACTGCTGAGAGACTGACGTATTAGACTATATCGCGAATGTTGCATATTCATTGCGACCTAGGGGATAAATAAAGTTATAATTCATTGCTGCTTAGAGACTAACACATTGAATCATATGGAACATTCTAAGCTTACCACAACCTAGGAGGTAAATCGAGTTGATAATTTAATGTTACTTAGAGACTTAACACAGTGAATTATATCGCAGATTCTACACCGATCACAACCTAGGGGATAGATAATACGGGTTCGATGTTTGAAACTTGAGTTTGATAACCAAATCTTAGATAACTAAACCAAATATATAAATCACAGATATACCAGTTGTGTTTGTTCTCAACTAAGGTATTTGTTGAATATGCTTAAGGTTTGAACTATTCAGTTTGCACAAATATGCTAAATAATATGCCCCAATATAGTCGCATTATTCTTAACCAAAGTAGATTTGTAAATGCAAGGCTCATGTATATGCACAATGCCCTAAATAGATATGATACCCAAATGTGCTTATTTTGTATATGCACCAAATGTTTCGTATGTACATGCACCAAGTATTTTGTAAACATTTTTTTGATATTTTTCTCCTTTTAAACCATTGGTTTTTTTTGTTTTCTTTTGTATCACTGACTCCCCAATGTTGTATGTTGCTTTGTCGTGGTACCTTCAAGTTGTTTTGGATTTTGATAAATCACGAGGAACAATGTCAGTAAGATTTTGATAATTGTATTGTAGACGCAGGCGTAGGCATGGATGCAGGCGTGGGTGTAGACGCGAATTTTCTTTCGACGTTTTTCTAATAAAAATGATTTTTGATGTTTTGTATATGCTTTTTGTTGTACCCCAATTTTCCCCCTAAGATTCCTCTATCATCTCATATCAACTCAATTATATCAAGATCACACTAGGGTTTATTTCTTCTCCCTATCTTTAGGTTTGCTCATGAGGGATCACCAAGAACTTTGAATTGTATATTGTGATCATATATGTTTTGTATTTATTAAATTTAAAATAACAAATACAATGAATTTTTGCTCTAATTGATGATATTATAGGTGAGGGAACAACACATTTCATTAGGTTGATTTATAGGTTCTTGAGTTTATTTCCATGCCTTCTTCAACAAAGCTTCATTGAGATTCAAGCTTCACCATTGAATATGCTTTAAATTAATATTATGACAAGGTTTACTATGATTCATCATGCCTCAATTTGTCAAAGAAAGTAAAAAGATGCAAGGATTGATTGAAGAAGTTTGACCTAATTGGACAAATTATTGATTTCTTGATCACAAGTGCATAACTCTCTCAATCCTTAATATTTTGAAGTGGTTATTGTTGCTATAGGTTCTTGTTATCATCCACAATAACTTCTATTCACATGGAAAAAGTGATTGTGCAAGAAAGGTTGTCAAAATTGAAAGGGGTTTCCAAGTCATTTTGGTGCTCTAGGAGTTAGGTTTTGAACTTCTAAGGGCTATATCTTGTTAATCTTTTGAGACTTTTGAGTGATTCCAAAGGTTTGCTTCTATTCAAATGGTTATTAACCAATCACTTCAAAAGTTTCAAGAAAATTTTGGGTGGAAGATTCCTAATGATGAAGAAAGATTACAAGTCCTCTAGATAATCTATCAAATTCCTTTATGTGATTTCAAAAGATCATAACTTGGTCAATTTTTATCTCCTTGAGCGCATTATTTTTCCATATTGATCTTAAGAATGTGAACTTCAACTCTTCGTTTATGTGGAAGACTTGAAAATGGTTGGAAGATGCCTTAAGAACTCAAAAGATTATAGGTCACCTCATGGATTTTCACCAATTTCAAAAGGCCATAACTTTTTCAATACTTGGTATTTTTGAGTGATTCAAGTTTCACAATGCTCTTTGGGAAGTCTACTTCAAGATAGCATCAATGATCAAAGTTCAATTTTTGAGGAAGGTCTTGTTTGAACTCAAAACATTATAGGTAACTTTTGAAGAAAAACTTAGAATTTTGCTAAGTATAAAAAGTCATCATCTTTTTCTCAACTTTGACTCATCATAACTCTTAGATCAAACATCCATTTGATCTCACTCTTGGAACATTGCAAATATGGTGACCTTATCTTTCAAATGCTTCAAGAATTATGCCCTAAGACCCCTTGGGTTGTGAATACCATTAGTTCAAAGTGGGTACCTTGGAACTGAAGTTTCACTTCAAGTCAGATTGCAATTTTCATAATGTGACTTCTAATCACCAAATTACCACGTGCTTTCCACTTAAACATGATTAGTAAATATGTTTGAATCATTTAGAGCATCAAAACACATCATTTGGATGAGTTTTGATGCACATGTGGTCACACTTTCTTCATGATCACAGGTGTGCACGAACTCAAGGGAAATTGCATCATTCACCCATCCTCTTGATTCCATTCACTTCTCCTATAAATACATGCTCTATTCCACTCATTTTCGCAAGCTTGAACAACCAAAATCACTTTGTCAAACTCCCTCCATAATGCACTTTTCTGAGATTTCGAATTCCTCTTTTCTCCACTTTTCAATCTAATTTCTTCATTGATCCTTCATCCTTGAACTTAACTGAAGCTAACAGAAGAAGAATCAAGCCTTAAGGTGCCCTAAATCGTGCTATCCAAGTCCATTTACACAGCAAGTTCGCCTGACTTTGTTCAGGTAGTTTAAGGCACCAAATCTTCTAACTCAAATTACTGGAATGGTCTATGATGTTCACTTATGCTTGCTATCAACTTAATTTTGGTGAATCAATGCGTTTGATGCTTCTGATTTTGTATCTTAACATTTTCAAATATCTCTGATTTTTTCCAAATCCACTATGTTGTGCTTTATATAAATTTTTCGCGAGCATATGGTTGTGATCTTCT